TCCGGTAAACTTGAAGAGGTTGACAGCGCGAAGACCCTACTGAGAAATAGGATTGCATCTGCAGCGGAGGATGAGCTTCGTAGCCGCCTCGGCGCAGCTGGAAACACGATCAAAGCTACCATAGCAATTAAGGGGGCCGAATGGCAGAAGATGGAGTTTGCATACTTAACCTTTTTTTGGTTATGAGTTAAGTATGCAAGCTCCATCTTCTGCCATTCGGCCCCCTTAATTGCTATGGTAGCTTTGATCGTGTTGCCAGCTGCGTCGAGGCAGCTACAAAGCTCATCCTCCACTGCGGATGCAATCCTACCTCTCAGTAGGGTCTTCGCGCTGTCAACCTCTTCAAGTTTACCGGACAGTGTAACGTACTCCATCGCCAATGGCTTAACAGTACTACAGTACCTTAATCTTTTCGCACTTAGTTGTTGAAAACCAAAGCATATAAAATGCAGAATCGTGAGTTTAAAGTACATGTGAAGTAGGGAAAGCACAAAAACATTATGTAAGATCCTATTCTACCCACATTCCAAACTTCGATTCAACTCAACTTGATATGAAAATAGCCTAGTTCCCACAGCAATTCGGTTTTGAGTATCCAAACAGAACACCAAGTTTGGTATCTGATAGGTCCTAAAAATCTGTTGGGAGTTCTGCCATACCCATAAAAGAAAAGGAAATAACCTCCAACCTTTTATTCTCCATTTCTTTCATAAACTCCAACCTTTTCAGGCGGAAGCACTCTAATTTTTTCTGATTCTCCAACAGCTCCATCTCCACTGTCTCTCCACTTCTGAATTCAGGAAAGAGTTATGGTTTTATTTAAAGGTTATGCTAAGAGGCTTAGGACTTGCTATACCTATTTTCTATGATCTCGAATTGATATTCAAACATTAAGAGCAGGCATATAACATAATGATATGAAATCAGGGTAGGGCATGTGTTTCCCCAATTATTGATAACCATAATATATGTGTGTTTGTTTCTGCCTATTTAAGTCGCAATTAAACTTAACAAAGAAGTTACTAAAATAGAAACCATTTGAACTTAAAAAGAAAGTTTTGGATTAAACTTACTCCAAATGTTAGATATTTCATATTATGTTTTGATAAATAAGATCATTTTCGCATTTTGTTGTTGAAAAACAAAGCATAAAACGTAACACAGAATCATGAGTTAAATATACGGAAGGAGGAATAGTGGATACCAACACAAAGAAGGCGGAAATGATGTTACCATATATATATTATAATAAAAAAAGAAGGCTTTAGGTGTGTTTAGATTTAACTCATGATTTGGTTATGAGTTACTCACAGAAATCCCATGCAGATGGGACGTTTCGTAACCGTCCAGATTCCAAAGTTTGAAATTTCTAATTCCCAATCAACCTTTTTTTTATCTTGCTAAAAATTGTCAGCCCCAAAGAAATGCATCATGATTTTCGCATGTGCCTTCGATACACTTTAGGTAACAAGATGCATCCAATCACTGAGCATTTACTCCTACGTCTATATCTCTCTAAGAACTTGAGAAGAAAATTTAACTTGGTAATACCATTAATCTTTAATCTAAAAATTTTATATTCAAATTTTTTTAGTAACGCCTAACTATTTTTTTTATAATCCGGAAACATCCCCACGCACACACAATTTGAACGATGAACAAGCGAGACCAAACCTGGGTGTTCACCTGTTTGAGCCCTTTGGCCCCTCCGCTAAAATTCCCTTTTGTTGCCTCCGAGAACACCACATGCAACTGGTCTCAAGGTGGGTCGAACCAGTGGCGGAGCCAGAAAATTGGTCAAGGGGGTGTCTTTATCATATTATAAAAAATCACCTATACAGTAGAAAAGTCAAGTTTAAATGAAAAAAAGTCAACAACGCAATACTCTAAATTCATACAATTACATTAAAATAGTTTCACGTACATAGGTTACAACGTCAAACAAATAAGTTCAGTACATACAAGTCAAGACTTCCATTCATCAAGTATTACAAATTAGAACTCAGAAGTACCTTGGAATTGATTTTGTGAAACAAACAAGTGAACTTCAATTGGTACTTCATCACTTTCGGTTATGTTTAAACAAAAGGCAAGAAATTTCTCTATTGTAGAGCTACAAAAGAAATGAGCGAGTTTAAACAAAAGACAACAATTTATTACTATAAATAAAGACGAAAGTGCATTGCATAACAAAACTTACTCGGTTGAGATGGTAAGAAATTGTTCTTGCAACTGAATGATCACTGGTTCGAATTTGTATATACCCCTACTTGGAAAAAATTTCTCCAAACCCAAGGGGGTGCAAGCACCCCCTCCTCTCCAAGTGGCTCCGCCACTAGGTCGAACAAGGGACCTCACATTTCCAGGGCGAGGGTCTCTCAAGAGTTTTACCAGTTCGGCTATGTGAACTTTGGTTTAGTAATACCTAACTATAAAAATCAACTTACGTGGGGTTCGCTGTGGGGAGCCAGAGGAGGAGTCGGCAGTGCGAGCGCAAGGAAGGAAGAACCTTCGGAGAACGTTTTGCGGTGGCTCGGCCTAGATGAAGGGTGCTTCTGTTGGTCGCGGCGGGGCTAAAGGTCGACGGTGGCGGCACTGGGAAGAGGCATGGAAAGAACCTTCAGAGAACGTTTCATGGTGGCTCGGCCCGGAAGAAGGGTGCATGTGTTGGCCGAGGCGTGGCCGGAGGAGGAGTCAACAATGGCAGCGTATGAGACGCTGGAAGAATCATCGGAGAATGTTCCATGATGGCACGAGAAGAAGCGAGCCTGGTATTGTTTGCTTTGTGGATTTGAAAATGAAGGTTATGGTAAAAACTTGAGTTTTCAAAAACCATGGATATAAGGTTTTGGGTTCGTTATGGAGTTGAAAAATACCATTGTTTTTTGGTAGATTTCATGATGGATTTTGTTAACTAGATTTGTAAGTATAAAGTAAATTTTACTCTTATTACCCTCATTGGTATGAGAAGAGAAACAATATAGGAATAGTAGATTGGGCGCAAATGATGAATTTCAAAGTCTATAATCAATTCCTACATAAACGGGTGAGATTTTCAATTATGTGGAGCTAGAGGTGGCAATTAGGATCCAAATCCATGAATCCAATCTAATTCATCCACCAAATTATCCACCTAATCCAATCCATTTAAATCCAATCCATTTGATCCAAATCCAATTGGATTGGTGGATTCATGGATCAATTCATGGATCCAAATGGCAAATTACGATTTGGTACCTATATTTTTTATATTTTACATTTTGGTACCTAAAATTTTTCATTATGACATTTTAGTACCAAAACTTTTCAAATTTTACATTTTGGTCCAAGCCTTTGATGTCATTTGAATTCATGGATCAATCCACCAATCCATTTGATCCAATCCATGAATCCACCAATCCATTTGATCCAATCCATTGGATCCAATCCATTTGATATATGGATCCACCAATCCAATCCACGAATCTGATCCAATTGCCACCTCTACGTGGAGCTCACAAATTTGAACCCTTAAAATCTTTGAGATCCACTGATTTGTTACCCCTAAATAAATGAAACAAATAGTAGAGTTTGGACAAAGTTCATGATGGATCCAAGCAAACAACCATTATATATTTTACAAACTTATCATGATATGGTTTACAGCAAGGATTGAAATATCGTACCGTACCGGCGGTTCAATCAGAAAAATCTCCTACTGGAGGCTAAACCGGTAAGCAGTATTTAGTGGTATGAAGCGGTTGAACCATGGTTAAATCACGGTTTTAGCATAAAATACCTACCGCTGACTTTTTCGGTACAATCTCTAGTACGGTATTTCAATCCTTGATTTACAGCAAGTCATTCATAAACAGCGGCATATTGCAACAGCCTGTAAACAATAAATATATGAACAACGAGTTGAACTGCAAGAAATTCGAGGGGCCATCATCAGTCAGTCGCAATTCAATTATTTTTGTTGTTACTATACTTGTATTGTTTAGAATACATCAATTTTTTTTTGCATACACAAATAACACAATGCATGAGTTGTTTCTATGATATGATATAAACTATCACTCAAAACGACTGTGGTATATCTCAAATTTTAGTTGAGATTGTTGAAATTAAGATTGTTTTAGGGTTAATATATTTGTATGGCCTGAACTTTTCACATAATAAACATATTGGCCAATCTTTTCGATCTATAACATTATAGCCTGAACTATACACCAAAGTAACGAAATTGCCCAAACCCGAAAATTGACCGTTATCTTGGACGGTCAAACGCGTTGACTAACGGTCAAACGTGTTGACTAACGGTCAATGCGTCACGTCACCTACAAGTCAGCACCTTTCACTTTAAAATTTTATATTTTCCACCTATTACTATTTATTTTTCTCATTTTGAATAAAAAAAATTGAAAAATGAATTTATGGTCCCCTTTATTTTCAAATTTTTTATTTAAAATGAAAAAAATAGTAATAGGTGGAAAATAAAAAAAAAAATCTAAGTGAAAGGTGTTGACTTGGCGGTGACATGGCGCGTTGATCGTCAAAGATAACGGTCAATTTTCGGGTTTAGCCAATTTCGTTACTTTGGTGTATAGTTCAGGTCATGATGTTATAGATCGAAAATATTGGCCAGGATGTTTATTATGTGAAAAGTTCAGGTCATACAAATATATTAACCCTTATTATCTCAATTTTTAGCTGATCGTGGCATATACAATCAAATATACTAAAAGTTATATTTGACAATGCATCAAATTCATCAATACATATATTCACAACAATACATCTATTTAACCATCGCAACTTCCAAACGATGCCTGAGCTTCTGCCATCTTGGCCCATACTCTTATCCTCCTCCAGTACCCTTATTTTTCAGCTTTTCATATTAATCCTCAACAAATTCATCGCTTAACATGAACCGTGAAATGTAATTTGTCTCTTGAAGTCGTCCTTGTTAGTGTAGTGTGTAGTTCATAAGCATTGCTGAACGGAACTCAATTAGGAGATAGGATTAAATCTTTAGATCAAAGGCGTGTTCTATTCAATTCTGTTCCTCCTTTTCCCTTACTTTTTAACATGGAAATGCATATTAATCAAGCATGGAACATCAGTAGAAAAGACTGAGTTTGCAGAAGCAAGAAAGAACAAGTAGTTGACAAACAGTTCCATCAGATTCATATCAGTTCTACATAGTCAGCTGACTTTTCCGCCATCTCCAATAATTGACCCTCATGGCATCAGCATGTTCCAACACAGAACAAACTACATTTCCCAAGCCGATGCTCTCCTGTGAATCTGGACGTGAACCAGTGAAATTCAAGGCTTCCACTGCTTCTCTCAACTCTTGGCTTGGCTGGAAACCGTGACTTAGAAGATCGAGAACAGTGCTCAAAGCGAATACATGGTTGGTGGTACCTCCACTACTCAATAACTTCAGGCAAACGGTCGAGACTTGAGGATCATGAATCCATGACTTTGGGTCGTCTTTGTAGAGGCCTCTGAGATACCTCCATGGACTCTCGTTCTCAGGGTTAGCTAGAATGGCTGCAACCGTGTACTTCACTTCCGACTCTCTCATGGCTTGCAAGCCTCCCAGGAGAGGTGATTTCATTATGACGAAGTATCTCTGTAGCAACACACATAATACATAAAAGTTTGACATATCCTACGGAGATGCGTTTCATGTTGAACTAAAGGGTGATCAGCCACTTCAAAAAGGCTTCATTCGATTCTTTTTTTCCCATTAAACCCATGTGAGCTTTACCTTTGAAATCAAGATTCCACAACCAAGTGCTTTTGCCTTATAGAGTTGCATTGTTTACCTGATTCCAGGCTGAGTTATTGAAAATATCCTCTTCAAGTAGCTGGCGGCAGTACTCTAGCTCATCACCCCATCCCCCCAGAGATTGCAGAACCCACTACAAACGCAAACCATGAAGTTCAGGAAACTCAAGTGCAATGAAGCAAACCAAACCAGGAAGACGGCCACTTTCATGCAAACAAAGGCAAACTGCGGAACATTGTTTATGAATATGCTTAGCACAGGAACAATACCTGCCTATGTGACCACGCATGATAATTTTTAGCATCACCAGAGAGTATCTTCTCAGTGAACTTAAGTTCTCTATCAGCAGCATCAAGACCGAGTTTCTCTGCAACCCAGCGTCTATGATGCCTGCAAAAGATCTAAATTAGTGCCAGGGGGTAGAAATCAGGAAGAAACACAGTTCAAGAACAACTGCAGTGGAAGGGAAACTAAAACGAAGGCAAACTGATCAGCTTGGGACAAGAAAAAAGAGGGCAAGAACGAAATCAGTATAGGATCCATCAGCTCACCATATCTGATAATTTTTAGAATTCTTCTCAGCAATCCTGGAAACATAATCAAGTTCCTGATGCAGGTCTTTATTTAATGTCTCCAGTATCAAACGCCTGAAATGCCATACCTTTCAAGAGGATGACAAGAAACAAGTCAGGTATGCACTCGGGAAGCATGGAATTCTGTAACAGCAGCAATTCGAGAGGCCGCACGAATTCTGCAACACTAATTTCAAGCACGAAACAGAGAGAGATTGATTGCCAACAGAGAGTAAATGAAAGATCAGATACCCCAGATCATCAATTCCAATTTTTAACACATTCCTGCACCTTTTTCCACATCATTGAGATTCCAAAGAACCCTAGTCCTATTCAATGTGAAACTTCTAATCCCTCAAGCAAAAGTCATGGACTTGAACAGTCATTCAGTCCAACAAGAACAGCTATCATATCAAGCTACAAACTTTAGCCACTAGGGAAACTTAAATCAGAATCCTAGAAGTTCCCATTAGCGAGAAAGAGTTGGAGGATCGTTACAGTGTAGTTGCCGGGATTCAGGAGGATGGCTTGGTGAGTGAGCTGAAGGGCGCGAGGGGATCGCTCATCGGCGCGATAGATGGCGCGGAAGTAGTCCATTGTCTCGACGAACTCCGGCTTGTAAGCGATTGGAACCACAGGGTTTGGACCGTCGTCTTGAGGGAGAGGACTGACGTCCGACCACTCCGGCCTCTGCGACGGCGACTGCTTCTCCTCATCGTCTTCCCAATTCATTGCTCCGCCGCGGGAATCGCAGTAGATTCCTCCGGTATGCTTTCCGGTGACTGAATCTCTGCTTAATCACAGTTGTCTCTGGAACTTGCCTTTGCTTTTCCCCTTTTGAACAAAGGAAGCTTGGTTTGACTGAGAATGAAAGGATGGAATTAACGAAATAACGATAATTTATAGCAAACATCAAAATTTGTTAAACAATAGAGTTTAATGACTATTTTGTTAGTAGTTCTAAAGATAAGTGACCATATTCGTAATTAACCCTCGCAAAAGCTCCCTGGACTCTGGAGTACTGATAACTGAGACATTAGCTTCAACGACTATCATTTCATCAGCGAGAAGCAGAGCAGAAATGGTGGATTTGCAGATTTCAAGTCAGTACGACAAACGACAGTAGAAGTCATTCTTCTTCCCCTTCGCCGGAGTCGGAAATCATGACGGTGGCAGCGGGGATCGGGTATGCCTTGCTGGCATTAGGACCTTCCCTCGCTCTCTTCGTCACCGTCATCTCCAAAAAGCCATTTCTGATCCTCACCGTCCTCTCCAGGTCCTCCTCCCAATTCAATTTTTAGGGTTCTATTTCCCTTTCAAATCTGTTTCCTGGATTCTGATTCTGGGTTTCTTGGTGTATTGTGTGCAGTACACTGCTATGGCTGGTAAGCCTAATCGTGCTGTCTGGATTCTGGCGCCCATTTCTCCCTCTCAATTCCGCCGCCTCCTGGCCGTTCGCCGTGCTGATTATCACCTCCGTCGCGTTTCAAGAAGGCCTTCGGCTACTTTTCTGGAAAGTTTACAAGTAAGCTTCTCCTACAGTACTCCCCTTCGAACTTCTGGCCGAATGGGTTTATACTTCTGAAGCACAAATTTCAATCCATATGAAAAAAGGGAGCTCATTTTTGGGTTTCTTGGTGTGTAAATTGGTTTTCAGGCGATTGGAAGATATGTTGGATGCATTTGCTGACAGGGTATCGAAGCCACGGTTATACCCTACTGACAAGATGCTAATTGCTTTGGGTATGCTTCAAGCTGCTTTGCAACTTTTTGGGTTACTTCTTCTGTTCATCAGTAGTAGTCATATCTGCATTGCAGAATGCAGATGTTTCCCTTCTGTTAGCTAACTTTGGGTAGTTGAAACGACTCGTGCAGCTGGCGGTTTAGGTCACGGTGCAGCTCATGCTGTTTTCTTCTGCCTGAGTGTTTTAACACCAGCATTTGGCCCAGCGACATTCTTCACTGATCAATGTTCACAGATACCTTTTTTCCTTGTTTCGTGTAAGTGACACTGTGTTCTCCTTGGTGCAACCTATCGTATTTGTGTCTTTACTATATTGATTCATACAGTATTGCCTAGCATCTACTTGGATTGTGGGAGTCTGCAACTGGTTACTTTTAATATCAACAAACTCTTTCTTTGCAATCTGCAGCAATTATAGCTCTTGCATTTGCTACAATTCACACATTCTCGATGGTGATTGCCTTCAATGGCTATTCCGAGGGGAATAAAGTGGACCAGCTTTTCGTCCCTGTGGTTCATCTTGTCGCAGGAATGGTGGTAAGAACATGTTGCTGAAGTTTCTATTGCAGTTTCTGGAAAACTGTTCTTCCTGTGCCTCCTCATAACTATTGTGCATGTTCTTATATCAAAACTATTTTTCCTATAGACGGGGCATGAGGATTTGGATCATTTTTAGGATACATGTAATGTATCATTATAGTTCCTTAATGTTAGAATTGGAAACTAATGGCAAATGGAGAGCCTTTTGGGGTCTTTTCATACTTACCTGGAACTGTCATCTTCACCATGCTATTAGTGTTGGATGAACTTATATTCCATTGTTAGTTTCTGATATATTCACGTATTAAAGAAAACTTATTCCGCTCCTATCTGTATCCCATTGCCCAAACTGCAAGTTAATGCTCTCCTTGTCTAGTTGTCTTGCTTTGTTTACTCGGTGCATTTCTACATTTTCGTCCTTCTTTCTCTCTTTCTATTACCCTCCTAGATGTTAATTGGTTCAGTTGGCTATGGAGTTATTCTTTATTTGCCGAAAACCAGTCACATAAAAGACCACTGACCTAATGCATGGGGTTATCTATATAAAATATGAAAAAGAACTCAACTTTTTATCTTCCAGCTTCTGCATCCTTGTAACCAATGCTGTTGTTTCTTACCATCACTTTTGTCCTGGCTTTGTTTGCTTCTTTTCTGGCAGACGCTGATCAATTTCACGACTGGAGGGTGCAGTATTGGGATCCCGATCCTCTACATAATCGCCATCTTGACCCTTTTGCATTGTGGGAAGATGGTGTGGGGAAAACTAACAGAGAACCAAATCCGTCTATAAGTCAAATTCTTAGTGTAAGAACAAAGATTCACCATCTCTTGTTTTTTTGCTGGTGCAACCATTTCTGTTTATGCTTCCTGCTGCTGCTGGCACTAGCTTAGATAGAACAGAGAAGTCTGATGTTGGATGGTTAGGTAGTAGAACTTCTTTGGGAAACAAAACTATGTTGTAATGGGTGGACCAAACCCAGGACTTGTGGAAAAAGAAGAAGAAATTAGCGCATTCCCAGCTCCATTTGGGTGATTCAGCTGTACTTTACCATTTACACCCATAACTGTGGAACTATATGCATTTAACCTCCAAATATTTAGTGAATGTATACAGGTTGTACACAGTAATCCATAGTTGTGTTTAATGGGAGAAATCACTAATAAATCATTCAATATAAGGAAAGTGAGTGAATGATATGTGTGAATGTACATTCATTCTTTTGGAGAAGTATCATTACTGAATGTATTTAAGTCCTTGATTTTGGGTTTATGGAAACTTGATTTCTGCAATCTCTGATATCTGCTACTCCCCCTTATTCCCCCCTTCTCTCATTCAGTGAGAAGGGAGATTACGGTTCCTGCAAAACTCTAAGAAAAAACTGTTCTTCTTTGGGGGGGCAGAAATCAGAGAAGGCAGCCTCTCCAATCCAAGATAATAGGTAATCAAAATCTAATTTGTCCTTCTTTTCCCCTTCATTCCATGCCTGTGCGTTTATATTACGAGTTCGGTGATGATTCTGATGATTATATTAGAGGTCTTTTTCATATCACAAAATGCCCAACCTCATGAACATACGGAGTATTTATAAAAATCAGGATAGTCTCGAACGTATGTCCCCTGTTATCTTTAAAATGGAACTTAATTTTCAGGTAGCCATGAAGCAGGAAATGAAACACTGACAGTTCAGGCCGTGTTGAAACTTTCATTTGCTTGTTTGGTTTTAAATATATATGTAACATTCCGACTTTGAGCTGTTCTTCCTACAAAAAGTTGCAGGAAATGAAACACTGACAGTTCAGGCCGTGTTGAAACTTTCATTTGCTTGTTTGGTTTTAAATATATATGTAACATTCCGACTTTGAGCTGTTCTTCCTACAAAAAGTTGTTCATGATAATAATAATAATGTGTGAAAGCATTGGCAATTTCCATGCAATTATAGTAGGGAATGTTGGCCATTTCTTCATGGCACTGCACTGTTTCAACACTCCCTTAGTTATGTCCCCCAACATTTCTTGGACTTACTGTAGGTCTTGGTGCAGGATTTGGGTTGCTGTTCAATCCGATGTTGATGCATTATTTTCTCTATATTCACATTCGGGTCGTTCGGTAGATGCGTATCTATTTGTTATCTCGTTAATCCTGATCATATATCTTCACACAGTTTTTTTTTTTTTTTTTTTTTGAATAAGTCTGAATACAAGTCCTGCTGGCTTGCCTATGTTGGTGTTGGCATATACTGTCTGAAAAGCTCAGTTTTTGGAGCCTAGCTCAACATTGTAAATAAGTAGATCATTAGATAGACATTGGAATGAGTCATCTTCTGTTGTGTGATATAATATGCTGCTCATAAACTGAATGAAAATCACAGGGTAGTGATTGAAAATATGAGGAAGAAGAATGTGTCCTTGTTGAAGTCTGGAATCCAAAGGATTGGCTCATTCTGCAGCAGAACCAGAAGTGACATGCTGAAAAAGGATCAAGAGGAGACGGACATGTATTTGTTTGATGATGATCATGACGATGACGGAGATTCGTGTTTATGGTTGTCTTCATCAGCATCTCCTTCATCTTTCTTCGACGAGGGATCATCCTGCTGCTCATCGTTCGTGCTCGAAGAATCCGCCATCTCTTCTGAGATCAGCAGTTCATCATCGAGGGAGGTTGTGGTCGATCTTGCTTCTTGGGTATCGGAGTTAGAGGAGGAGGATGCAACTTTCTTGGCTGATTTGGATTTGGAGTACTGCTGCATCCCATCTAATTTCCCAAGCCCATCTTTCAGTACTTGTTGTTCAAGTCATAGAGAGGCAGAGGTGATGGAGGAAGCTTCAGAACTAGAGCAACTCGATGATAATGATGATGATGATGATGATGATGATGATGATGAAGATGAGCAGGCTTTATTCTGGCCATTCGACGAGGGGAAGCTCAGATGGAATCGTGATGAAACATGGATTAGCTTCACCATGTCTCCTCGAAAGGACATTTACTCTACCATGTTAAGTGAAAAAGCTACCACACCTTCCAAATGTCTAGAATCAGAACAGAAGACGCATGATCATCACCATACGACGAGGATTCTTCCGAAATTGAGACGAATCAGCAGTCTGATACCGCGGAGGCGAATGCCCAGTACTTCAGATTCAAAACCAGTAGCTGCAACAAGGGCAGCAGCTAATAAGGTCATGTTGCCATCAAGGTTGGTGAAGGCTACAGAATCAAGTAGTTTTAGTCCAAAGGCTTTGGTGAAAGTTGTGCCATTGGAGGTCAAAATGGCCAAGAACAGAATGGATCATGGTGCAACTGATGAGGCATGTTTGTTTGGTTGGATAATTGGTAGAGATGAAGTTCCAATTGAGAAGGTAATGGGGCTCGAAGAGTTTGATGGGCATGAAGGCATGGATTCATCACAACTTGATGATGATCTCATTAATGGAGATGATAGTCTTTTCTCATTGGTGGATTGAAGAACAACTCTTTTTGGGAGGCCAAATGTCATATGTTTGTCCATATAGGTTTTTTTGGTTATAGTATGTCTAATGTTACTTTGAGTGCATGTGTTGGTGTTTACATATGTGTTTTTGATGACTTCCATTCTCTTCAGAAATTCGTTTTGTAAATTAGTGTGGCCATGGTTGAGTGGAATACGAGAGAAGACATAGTTGGATTCGATCTCGTCTGATATGGTACAAAATTAAATTCGAATTTTCTTTCTTACTCTCGAGTATACAATGAAAATTTTACAATATATTTGTCAGTTGCATTAAAAACATTAAAGCTCTTCGTGGTTGGATTTCTTTCCCTTGACCTTGTTAGTCGTCATTTGCACGGTGGTCTCGACAACCTTAGCAGCGGCTTCGGCCGTTTCTTCGGCAGCGTACTCGCCGACTTCTACGCTTTTCTCCACGGCTCCTATCACCCTGTCTTTCGTTGCTTCTCTCCCAACTTTTGGGTCCTCACTTCTAAAACTAATCAATCAATCCAAAAAAAAAACCAACAATTGAATTAAGAACATGATAAAAAGCGGAGTAATGACACTCATATTTGGATTCAAATCTCAAATTTGAGAAATTTTTACTTCCAAATTCGTCGAAGTTATTAGTAAAAACGAATCAGAATTATATCAAATTCGCATGAATATCATTTTTCAATATGATCCTTTATTGATCTCAATTCATTTAACAACATATGACCAGATTCTTCGAATAGCTTTCATTGTAACCACAAGAAACCTCAATGCCTTAGCTTGTGGAACATCAAATAAATTACAAGAATATCCAATTTTCGCTATAACATTCACAAGCTGAGCAACACGAATGAGCATATATTAAAAGGAATCAATAAATTCAATAGTTATAATTGATTGTCATGGATCTTACTCTAAATTAGGGGACGAAAACTGCAATTGTATGTCGCGGATGACGGTTTTAACTTTGTCCCATGAGCTTCGATATGATTCCTTCAACACTGAAACGGTGTCGCTTGCCATCTTTGTCAACAGAGCCTTTGGTTGCTGTTGTTGGCTACTAACATCTCCATTGCAAGGAATGGTGATGAGATTAATCAAGAAAATAACAATTATGGAATAGGTCATTAATAGAGAAGGAGAAGAAGATTGAGATAATGATGTGGCTCTTCTCCTAGTGTCATTAGATGGTGAGGATGATGATCTCCTTGTGACACTAATCCCACAATTTTCATCTTCTAAACCCATTCTTTTATCCAATTATGAATTGAGTAATTAGTATTGGAGTTCTTACAATGACTTTGTGTAGGGGGAGGTTCAATCAATTTCTAAGATTTTGAGTTGGAGAGGGATTTAGGTTACATATTTGGGGATCATAGTGAAATAGTAAGAGAAGAGAGTTGAAAGGAAGCATGGGGGTTGGAAATTTTGTGAAAGATTAGGTTTTGAATCTTCCACTTTTGTGTGACTATATTTAAGGTTCTATTTTTTTCATATTTGAATGTTTCAAATGTAGTTGAGATTATATGTGACTAGAAGACCTCTTTCCAAAGTCTCTACTTTCAGCACCATTCACTCACTTTCTCTCCGGAACTTGTATCCATCAGACAGTGGCATAGTCAAGATTTTTTTTAAGGTGGATTGGACGTAAAAATATTTTATATTATTTTTTTATGGAAACCTGTATCATTAATTTTTATTCTTTACTATAATATTACACTACTTGTTTTCAAATCGTAAACAGTTTTAAATGCATTTATCATCTAAACTGTGAAGAGTGACACCACAATAATTCCATTGATCAAAATTCGTTCATAGCTTCATTCGTCATTTGACGTTGAAGTGTGTTCTTCAATTGCTTTGTGAAAAATGTTGGGCCAAACCTTCTGTTGATTCACGGTGACAAAACCAATTGTACAAGTTGATACGCCAATAAAATATATGAATCTATATAAGTGAAAAAGTATATAAGAAAACTGAAACTGCAATTCATTGATGTATAACTTTAATAATAAGAAAATGACCGAGTTTGAGTTGTACTCACATCATTCCAATATCGTTATTTTTTTTTTTACTGTCATCAAATTGTTTAAATTTGTAAAAGCATATTATTTAGGTTGAATATATATATGGTATATATATCAGTCGGTCACATGCAACTCCACCTAAACAATTTGAAATTATATATATATTATATCAGTTTGCTTAATTTAATCAAAGACACATCTTCTTTCATACCATCGCAAGTCACTAAGTCGACTCTATCATCACCTAAAGTCCACTCAAACGAACAAATTAAAGTAAGTCAACAACTCATACAGTAGCTTAAACCACCCTCCTATCTTCCCCACAACAAAAGTCGTAACCTAAAATGGTTGTAAAATAGTCAACGATATTCATAATCTTAAAATCCATACCCACCTCATATTCATTGCTGCGGAAAGATTTCACAATTACATCCAATCTCCATACCTGTGTTTTCGATTACTCGTAGGTAATACTCGGTCCGTTCGTTCGATATTACTGTACATTAGAATTGTAGATCTTCAAGTATAACACTAAGCGGAGCTAATAAATCACGAACCAAAAAAGATACAATGCGCGAATTCAAAGGATCAAATTCTAAAATAATATCCAATTAATTCATAGGACAAAGTACAATATTATTCGAATTATGTATCCCTGACTCTGACATGTCTATTATCTAATAAGTAAAACCCACTGATCTTGAACGTGGAGATCCAAGGTTCGAATCATTTAAGTAGTACCTAACTAAAAAAACAACCTTGTCACCCTTATCAATAATGGGGAAAAAACATAACTATTTTTCTTTTATCGTAAATATCCACGAAAGAGAAAGCATCATAGATACGAAAAGAGGAGAAAAACGTTGGTTGACAAGTGAACGGAACCAAGCTTTGAGAGAGCTTTTTTTTGCAAACAAAAACATTTGGGTAAGTGGATGAATTTAACAAATAAATAATCATGCTTAAAACAATTGGAAAATCAGACACTTTACTTGTTACACGCGTCATAAACTATCGAATTTATCCATGTACCGAACTTAATGTAGACCAAAATATAAACAACTTGCCTTGTTATCAATTAATTAATAATTAAAGGGCACTACTAATCTTAATCATTGAACCCGAAAACGCGCAACCACTTAGGCAAGCAAAGCAAGCAAACGCGAGATCCAGCAAACAACAAGATTATACTATTATTATTTATCTTTATTCCTCCGCAAAACAAAACAAAATTTAAATATTTTTAATGATTCTTCTGAGAGATTTGGGTTGGAAAATGGTGTTCGACAAATACAGTCATTCACTAGTTGTTCACATGTGATTAGGAGATTCGAGCCTCTCTCGTGCATTTTAATAAAGACAATTTATGTGGCATATATCGTATCATCGCGGTGTACGGTTGTATAGCTTTGTTGTAAATAATCCGTTGCATGCAAATTTATATCTTATTGATGATTTAAAACAAATCTTCCGGTAATGTATCATCGTTATATCTCGTTATTGATTGGTAATGAAGATCCAAACCGCCATCTATGTCCCTCAATTAGGTTGATCTGTTAAGGAAATTAGTAAAGGTACATTATTACATATCAATCATCTGTTACTCAAATCTTTGTGCCAGATGTTCACACAACGACTCAAATCGCATCACCAGTTCAAGAAATCGGGGGACGGGGGACCTGCTCATCATGTCGAACTCGGGATCTTTTCATGGATCTTAAACTATTCCAATCAACTTAGTTGCTAGTACATATTCCATATTTTGAACTTGACTTCGATTCTCCAGAAAGCGAGAAAGAAACTCGTGCAAAACTCATGCCTGCAAAACCGACCGTGTCTTACCGCTCTCATGAATATTGGAGACAACATAATTCTCATTAGATATGGTAAGAATCTAAGTTTTTTTTCTCTTCCTAAAGTTCTACAAAATTTGAGTTTTACCTCATCTCGAATACTTGAAAGAAATTAATTAACACTGTAAAATTGGGCCCAAAATATTATTTACTCGAGCCAGTGTCTTTCTTACCGCCGTGGCCCATTTGTAGGCCCAACACGTTAGTTGAAAAGTCAAGCAGGCAGGCAGGCACGTTAGTTAAAATAACAACTCTCACTGTATACTCGCAAGAAAATTTCACACCCGACCCGACGCGCCTCCGCCACCCGCCTATTTATTATTATATTATTATTTATTTTTCAGTTGGCGCCAGTTACATTATTCTTTTTCCGCCCCAATCTGCCAGCTGGTTTGACTCCGAGAATTATATATACTCGCGCAATTTCCCCCAACCAACGGCATCTCCCCCAATTTCTCAAACCAAATCCCTAACAGACAATTTGAAATTCTCTCATCCAATCGACGGCGACAGAACCACCGATCCACCGGAAAACAGAGGAATCAACGATGGGGAACTACGTCTCCTGCACTCTGGCGACTCCGCTGACGAAGAGCGGGAAGGCGGCGGCGGCGGCGAGGGTGGTGTTCCCCGGCGGCGAGGTGAGGCAGTTCCGGGACCCGATCAACGCGGCGGAGATCATGTTCGACTGCCCGAGCTTCTTCCTCGCGAACTCCCAGTCCCTCCAGATCGGCCGCAGATTCTCGCCGCTCCCGGCCGACGAGGAGCTGGAGCTCGGGAACGTGTACCTCACGTTTCCGATGAAGAGGGCCAGCTCCGTCGTCACCGATTCCGACATGGCGGTGTATTTCGTGGCGGCGAACTCCGCAGCGAAAAGGATCGGCGGCAGGTCGGCGGATCCGGCCAGGATCCGGCCGGAGGAGGTGGAGCTGGATCGGAAGAGCTTGGAGGAGATGTCGGAGGAGTTGGAGATTCCGGCGGAGTTTAAGCACAGGCTGTCGATTTGCCGGTCGAGGAAGCCGATGCTGGAGACGATCAGGGAAGAGCCGGCGACTCCGGTGCTTTCCAGATGATTGAAGAAAGGCAAAAAAAAAGGAAAATCGGTTGCGGCGGTGGCGGTTGCGGCGGAGACTTCCAATTTGATGTTATTACCTTTTTAACCTATAACAGTGGAAGAGCAGAGCTTGAGGAAGGTTCAGAGACGGTGACGGTGACGGTGGGGGAGTGAGTGGGAGTGGAAATGATATTTGGTTTGTTTTTGGGTAGTAAAGTGGAATTTTTTTTAGACTTGGGGGATTAGATGTACAAAGGAAAGGAAGATTGTAGAGGGGGATGGAAATGGGATGTATAATTAATTGTATTATACATTGCATATCCAGATTGTTGTTTGTTGATTGAGAAGATTCAATTAATTCAATTATTGTTCTGATTTGATGATCATAATGTTTGTGTACATTACATACTAAACATTCTCTTTCTATGGTTGTCAAGTAATATTTATATGTACATTACACGTGGATTGTTGTAAAAAAAAAAACGTTTATCTTTCTCTTTATATCAAGAGAAAAAATGTATGTTTGATCAAACTATAAAATTCAGTTTGCATCATTTGTCGGACTACATAGCTCTAGATCGAAAACACAATGGTCATATTGTTGTGTCAAAGTATTGCTCGCTATCGGTTGTGCGTCGAGAGTTCTTCATTATCTTGATTTTTTAAGACATGCTTGTGTTGCTCAAAATTCTGTTAACATATTATTTTGTGTGATTGTGAAACGATCGACTGCTTTTTTTATAGGTAAATGAAATAATCAAACAAGTGAGTCCGGTGATATCTCTGAAAACTTGTAGAAGAGAGAGTTAGAATTGTATGAAAAATAAGTGAAATTGTTGTCCACTATCAACATGTTAGATGTAAAACTTAATTATGTTTCAAAACCAAATACTTTATCCTCAATATCGTATCGAATTATGAGCATTTCGTTCGATCATAATTGTCTCGCTTCTTTATCATTTGTAATCTGTTTTATCTCGATTTTGGCTAGCTTATGGAACAAACCACAACCCAAGACCAAGAGGCAAGAGCCCTAAGACTGAAACAAGCCCATAACCCAACCCAATAAACCAGAACCTGGAAACCAGTCCAGCCCAACTCCTCGCATTGGCCGCGCGTGGGCAGGCGAAAACGACGCTGGGGGTGAAACGGATATTTCCTCCCGCGTGTGCAGTTTCAGGTCAGAGTAAGAGTCGAGAGCAGTCGTGGAATCATCGTGAATCATTCACAAACAGACTGACGAAGAAGAAGCTTCTCTCTGTGTTTCCCAATCCCAATTACTCTCTAATTATAATTTCTTCACAACAATCAACCAATTTTCTCCTCTTTCTTTATTGACATTTTAATGGGAATGATCTCCCTTCTTCCTCACAAATCAGCCGCAAGTCTTCTCCTTCTCCTCCTCTACTTTCTCCCCCTATACATGTGACAAAGCTGAAAGGTCCCCTACTTGTTGTAGACTCCAATCAAGGGCTTTCTGTTTTTTTGGGTGAAATTTCTTCTGGTAAGCGCTCGATTTTCATCTGGGTAGTTGTTTTTCCTTCGAAAGTTCGTGTCTTTACTTCTGGGTTTTTTTGGTTTTTGATTGCTAGTTTGATCTGGAATGATGGTTTTGGGAATTCGGATCATTTGAAGTTGTTCGAGGGTCCATTTTGGGAACTGGGGTTTCAGGGGGGTTGATGATTGAATGATGATGGCCTTTTGATTTGCAGGTTTTTTGTGTCGTTTGGTCTGGGGACGAATAATGCGGGCGCCATCGTTGCTTGCGCAGTGCTGGCCTGGTTTGGTTCCTCATGATCGAGGAAGTCAGAGCATTTCATGGGTTTCTGAAAGAGATGTCCACCTCTCATCGCCAGCAGTTGAGATTGTCCCTGCAAAGGTATTGTATTTATCAGATTGTGATTCCACATTCTGAAGTTGAATTTTCCTGCATTGCTTATGAAACAAGTGAAGGACTTGTTGTTTGCTTGAACTGTGGTTTGATGGACTCGCTATACGATAATTAGGAGCATTGTTCTGTTTCCTTTTGCTCTGCAGGCACATCACACGGACAAGTTTGCCGTGGGGAATGATGAACATGGGGAGAGTATCTTCAAGGGTAGGATTAGTGTTGCTGATATAATCGGATTCACGGGCTCTGACACAATCTCGTCAAAACCAGATGGTAACTTTTATGTTGTGCGCTTTGAAGAATTTGATTATAGTCGTGGTCTATTTTAGGAGTGATGTTGTTGATGCACTGGTACTGGTTTTTTCTGGGTTTTCTGCAGGGTCTATGAAATTTTGTGACAGCTCTATCGATCTGGTTAATGTTCTCAAGAATGAGATCCGTGATGGACAACTGAGCTTTAGAGGCAAGAGAGTTCTTGAGGTAATTTATCGTGTCCTCTGCTTAAGTTGAAAGGATGATTGTCTGTATGTATAGTTAAAAAAATGGCTCAATCATCTATTCAACACAAGTGAAAATGCATACAAGTCTGTTAAGATGCGATTGTGCATAGAGAGGGTGTATTGCATTTTGTGAACTGCAACTAGCTTTCTGCTAGAGCTCTAAAAAAGCAAGGTATCTTTGCTATTATTGAAGAAAGGGAAAAGCTTACAAACTTCCTTTTCTGTTTCCTGTAAACCACTAACAGTTAGTATTGCTTCCTATTTATTCTTGCAGCTCAATTGCAACTATGGCCTTCCTGGAATTTTTGCTTGCCTGAAGGTAAATCATCTCGATGGTTGCCCTAGTTCCATCTTCTTGTTCAGCATTCAATAGCTTGATGGCTCCTCTTATATTGGATGAAGAATTTGGTCCAAAAATATTGCACTCTTCTTTGCTTACTGATTACTGTTATAGCTGAGGCAATTAACGGTCTTTCTTATTTCACTAACAGAAAAATTGTCTCTTTTCATGTTTAAGACATACCACAAATCTAGTTCTGAGCTTCCTGATCAATATAAACCTTTTAGTGCTTAACCAAATATCGGCCTTTCTTTACAGGGTGCCGCCACAGTCCATTTTCAAGACTCGAGTGCTGAAACTGTGAGGTGTTCCACCATTCCCAATGTCCTGGCCAACCTCGAGCAAGCTCGTGATAGACAAGCCCGGCAACCAGATTCTCCGCTGACACCATCGAGACACTCTCTTTCCCCAGCAGTCCACTTCTACGCTGGTGACTGGGAAGAGCTCCCGAGTGTGCTCTCTGTATTAAGGAGTGAGACATCTGAAGCAGCGACAACCACGGGGATGATGAACTTGAGCTTCTCTGAGGAAGATTTCAACGACGGCTGCAGCAGCCAAGATGGCAGCGTCGTGGCCCCCGAATCTGCCAGAAGATCAAGGAAGCTCTCAGGGAGCCGAGCTTGGGAGAGGGCTAATGAGAGCGATAGTGGAGAGGGAGGTTATGATGTGATCTTGATGACCGATGTACAGTACTCAGTCACCCCATTGAAGAAGCAGTATGTTCTGATTAAGAAGGTTGGTCTTTTGGGGAACCAACATTATGAATTTGTTTTGCATATATCATTGTAATCCTGTTCTGACTTCTCTATATGAACAGTGTCTGAGGCCACCATACGGAGTGATGTACTTGGCGACGAAGAGGAATTACCATGGTGGATACAGCAATGGAGCTAGGCAGCTGAGAGGTTTGGTGGATGAAGAAGGCTTGTTTGGAGCTCATCTGGTGAAGGAAGCTGCTGATAGAGATATTTGGAAGTTCTTCCTCAAGTGAAGAAAATTATATCACAATACCAAGTAGAAGAAACAACTATACAAAACTTCATTGTTTGCAGGCTGGCTAACTGGTTATCTCCAAATTTCAGACTTCATTCTTTTTGTTATGTTCTTCAGCTAGAACAGTGTTATCAAATATTATACTGAATGTATATTAGGAATCACAAAGTATATAGTGAAAATCCCCCACCCCCTTTTTTCACTACCAAATCAATGGATTTGGAATCCAGAAAAAAAGGGGTATTGTGATTCCCTCCCATTGTGATAATTCCCTTTTGCTAGTTTTTTCATTTGTGAAGTTTGCTTCATGTTTGTAGATTAAAATTCATTCATTTTAAAATATAGATTGCTAAATCCATTGGCTGGGCTACTGATACTGATAATCTTGTAGTAATCTTTCCATATCTTCATATTATTATCCTGATTGATTGTGAGAATTCTATTTGAGGGCAAATCGTGTCAACCTCCCCTTGAAATACATGCTGTTGAGAGAATCAACTCAGGTTTCTTTTTTTTTTCTCTTCATGAACAAAGAGGAAAGCATGTTTGTGATTACACGATTGGTTAAAAATTGTACAAATTTCTCTTAATTAGGTTAATATTGGCACACACAAAAAAGGGCTCTTCAAATTCAATAGTAACAATGAATAATCTGCAAACTACTACTTAATCTGAGCCAAGGATTTGTCCTTTAGTAACTTGATGCTAAGGGCATTTAGCATGGCCCTTGAATATTGTCGAGATGCCATTTTCCAATCCATCCCACACTTCATCATTGCCTTGAATTCTTCATAACTTATTCTTCCATCCTGTGTAAACATTATTTATTTGGATTAATTAGCTTCATAATTAGCAATATCTTCATTAGTTCATTTATACAAATCATAAAAATCACATCGAAAAAAAACTCGATTAGCCATAACATAGATCCTCTGTCGTTTATATTTTCTACCATACTTTATAATGAAGATCATTTTGATTCGGACGTTAAATTCTTATGATTACTTATAATAATTTCTAATGAATCAAGTACGATGATAGATAAACTAGTTTGTAATCACTTTTTAGTATAATCGCAAAAGTTATAAGTGAAAATGAAGTTACCTTATCAAGGTCAACATCCCCCATGATGTCTTTGATTACTTGCTCGATGTTGTGGGGGCCCGAATGGTCTTCGATCATGGCGTCTCTTAGCTCATCAATCTCAATGTACCCGCTCTTGTTCTTGTCGAAGAAGCTGAAAGCTCGAGCTAGATTGTCGTCGTTTGCAATCTTCCTCAGATGGATCGACATCACTATGAACTCGTCCCAGCTCAATGTGCCATTCCCGTCAAAATCCGCCTTGAACAAATTCAAACAAATAAAAAACAAATTAGAATAGCTCAGAGAAAACACGATAGTGGAGACCACGCGTCGCACTACATTCAAGGCTACTTCGGCCTACATGAATACCCAATAAACCCATGGAGCGGGAAATATATATGTGCTTACAGCATCCATTAACATCTTGACTTCGAGATCGGGAAGAGCATGGCCAGTGTTAAGAAGACCATCTTTGAGTTCTTCGAACGACACATCTCCATTTTTGTCGGTGTCCATGGTGTGGAACAATTGTCTTATGTGGTTTACTTGCTCGTCGGGCAAATTATCAGCTACCACCTATTAAAATAAAACAAGAAAATAGTTATTATCGTCATTGTAATTTATATAAACCCTATCGCGGTTTCATGAATGATATGTAATAAGGACATCAGAATTGAGAAAGGGATGTTTACCCTGAGAACTCTCTTTTTGAACTTATTCATGAGGGAGAACTGCCTAATCCTTGCTCCTACATTCTCACCTAGGGACACAGTTGGTGCCTGGCTCGCATTTTGTATCCATGGATGCTCTGCGTGATAAGAAATTATATCATCACGAGAACTCAAACTCATCATCCGTGTAAAGTTCAAGATCTTATATTTTCAATGTGATATCTCGCGATAATCATCACGTGTGAGAATTCAAACTCGTTCGTTTCATTCATAACTACCCTGTTAGACATTTCTCGGGCGCTCCTAGAACATACGTGACATTTTTGTTTACACAACCTCAATATAAGAGTATTAGTTCGATTATATTACCAAGCACTTCTTGGATGGTTAGTCGAGAGTAAGGATTTTGATCAAGCATGCTCTTAACTAGACTTTTGGCTTCTTTGGAGACCTTAGGCCATGGATCCCTTGAAAAATCTAAATGTCCCCTCACAATTGCTTGTGCAATTCCTTCTTCAGTCTCTGCATTCATAAATTCACTTACATGTAAAGACAATTTTATGGTTCCATTGTGTTAAAAAAAAAACACAAATGTATAATTCATATAGATTAAGAGCCATTTAGGTATATATAAAAAATACCTGCCCAAAATGGAGGAACCCCACAAAGCAAGATGTAAAGAATGACACCAGAGCTCCACACATCAATTTCTGGGCCATAGTTCCTTCTAAGCACCTCAGGAGCCATGTAATATGGGCTTCCGACTATCTCATTGAATCGTTCATCTACATTATAAACGTAGTCGGTAAATACTCCATTTAATACGCGTATACATTGACGTACGTACGTATTGATGCACTTATATACATACCACGTTCGAAGAATATGGAAAGACCAAAATCAATGGCCTTGAGGTCAGAGTTCTCAGACGCATCCGCAAATAAGAAGTTCTCCGGCTTCAAGTCCCTATGAATCACTCCGTGTTCATTGCATACCTGATCACCATCATCACCCACCCGAAATAAAACATCAACACACGAAACGATTAAACATCAATCCAGATCATCGAACTCGTCATATGCAGCATGCACCGAGCCTCACATCGTATTAACATAAATCAAATATACATGTTTTCACCTAACCATAGATGACTCAAATAACACTTTATTTCCCCGCGTCTTATCAAGCACTCTATTCTCGAAGTTATCTTGCCGACACAACAGTCATTCGCTCCATTGCATAATGATTGTCACATCAACAACATAACGAGAGAAAAAACCAACACATTATAGTAGTAGTTTTTTTTTAGTATGTGATTAATTATAGTGTTTTAGTTGCTTATCGAGTATGAAGTCCAGTGTGACATCAACACATATAAAATAAGCGGATGAGCACATTAAAATAGTACGAGTCAGATCGAAATCGCCATCTACATAACGTACTTTAACGACTTCCAAAATGGTCTTGGTGACCATGACGGCGGCGCGCTCGGTATAATGCCCTTTCGCCACAATCCGATCAAACAACTCCCCACCTTCACAGAGCTCCATCACCAGATAAATCTGCTCTTTATCCTCGTACGCTTCCTTAAACGCCACGATGTTCGGGTGCTTGGGCAAATGCCGCATAATCTCCACCTCTCGCCGGACGTCCTCGACGTCGATCTCCGTCCGCAGCTTCGCCTTGGAGATGGTCTTGCAGGCGAACTTCTCGCCGGTCTCCTTCTCGACGCACTCGTACGTGATCCCGAATTCTCCCCTGCCGAGTTCCTTCTGCAGGGTGTACTTCTCGTGGATGTTGTTCCCCGAGGGATCCTTCACCACCGCGGCGGCGCGGAAGGTGGCGAGCTTCCGGGGGGCCTTGTTGTAGTCGGGGTACGGCCGGCGGCTGCTGAACCGGGAGGAGAGGACGCGGCCGGCTTTGGCGGCGGAGGAAATGCAGCCTCCCATTCTGAAGGAAGAAACAGAGGAAACAGAGGACGTAAATGAAAAAAACAATTTTTTTGTTGATTTTTTTTTTAATGTTGATGTGTATCGGTTAGAGACGTTCATAAATCACAAACGTGGTCTAGTGATAACGTGTGCATGTTATCATCCATGATGTTCTACATTCAATTTTGAGGTTAACAATCGCCTTGTTAAGAAAATTTAACACAAAATATGCATAAGACTATCATAGTCAATAATAGAACAGGGGTTGCATGATAAGCAAGATGGGGAAGGACTACACTTTTCTTCATACAACCCGAAATTCAATGGATAAGAACAAGGAATACGAGTTCCATTCGATCATAACAGGTACTGAATAAGAATCACGCACCTCGAACTTGAAGAATAAGAATGAGAAATTGGTTTAAGTGATAAGAAAGAGAGATGGAGAAGAATTACATCTCATATAGTTCAAATTCGATGAGTCAAGACGAGAAACGGGAGGAGACGCGCGATGGTTGGGATGATCGATTTTTTTTTTTTTTCTCCCTTCTCTTCTTTTCTTCTTGATTACCTCTTTTCTCTTTCTCCTTCTTGTTTTATCTGAAATTTGCTGGTGGTGGATTCATGGTCATGGGGAATCCACCCATGAAGCAACAAGAGAGGAAAGGAAGAAGGAAATGGTTGTTTGGATTTCAGAAAATGTAGATCAATCCCAACAAAAGAGAAAGGGAAAAGGATACATGTCTATATATGGTGACCTATAATTAATGTTGGGAATGTTAAGTAAATTACAAGCTTTGAGGGTCTCCTCTTTTCATCCTATTTTTGCATTCTCCTTATGTCTCTCTTATTTTGGATTTTATTGGTTTCCACTCTCGAGTCTGAATTGAGTGAACCACGAAAATTATGCATCTGTTTCATGTTCATCACTTGATAGTTGTTGAGTGTATAAAAATATCGCTTTCTATATTCAAGTTCGTTGAACTCATTCTTGTTGGTAATCGATGGACAGATCCATAAAAGATTATACATTCGTCCAGGAGGCATCCCCTCAGTAATCCGATTCCGACCAGACTTAAAGAGATGGTGTTGATATTTGAATCCATTAGTAATTGTTTTTAAATCGACTTAACAGTAGATAATGTTGAAAATTTCTTTAGCGTATTTGGTCAATACCTCAATTGGTCGAGGGAAACCTAGGAACATTCCCCCACGAACAAGAGGAACGACAATCGGTTACCCTCTCAAGAGTGATGATGTTGAAATCTTCTATGTTATTCATCTTTCAGAATATCCTTCCCAACCTTGGGTTTAAAGACGAGATCGATTTGATCCGAACAAGTTTGAGGACACTGTCTTGGTTGCAAATGCTCGATCGAGCCTCCACACCAGGAGAATTGGATTGCTACATTTTGCAAGTGTTGGCTTGAGAAAGACAAGCATGCAGGAAAATGAAACAAAGATGGCACATTTTCTTGCAGAGCTTAAAGATGACGTTAGTACAAGAGTAGTCACAACAGTACAAGAGCTTCAGAGGCATACATGGATCGTTAGGACCCGTTGCCCTCCAATACAGATGTAACAAACACACCCTAGTTAACATTTCAAGGTTTGACTCGTAACGAAATGTCGCGAGGTACAACATAAGAGTCTCTGCGAGCACAACACGGTGTACATATAAATATACATGCGATAAACAACAGCAACACAACCAAGCCCACCTCCAGCTTGCTAATATTTATTTACAGAACCTACATAAAGATGGGCAACACTCCATTACTCTGAACCGAGCGCCCCTCTCACCTCATCGTCCTCGACTAGGAGGAACAGCAGGGAATACAATTGGGACGAACCGAGGTGATGATAATTGACAACCGTGGGATCAATCGTCTGCAATTCTTCCCGTCCTGGCATTTGCTTTTCCCCTCCCGGCTCTTCCCTTGCCACCACCTGCATCCTTTGAGCCGGCTGCTCGGCTACTGGAGCCATTGGAGTCCACGTCTACTAGCCCGTTCTCCAATGCTCGTACCAAGTTCTCAAAGTAATTTTTCGTAACACTGCATTCGCACAAGAAGAAGGGTTCAGGGTCTGATGAAGCATTGCAAGTGAGGGATGCATTAAATTGCTACTCGTTATACCTGGTCAGTCCTGCTAGCTTAGTACGAAACTCCTCGAATTCCTTTGATGGTCTATCGGCTTCGGGAGTGAGGAACTGCTGCAGTTCTTTCTCTGCGCATTGATGAAGCCTTTCAAGGCCAGACTCTGCCTCACCTGTAGACATCAAACAGCAAACTAAATCAGAAAGTGACCATAAATCTTATCCATAGCAATGATCTTCTGACAAGTACACTTGACAAGGTTCACGGTCCATATGTTTGTCCACTAAACACTGCCATTCAGCTGCCAAAACAATTTTCTTGCTAACATACTCACATACCTTGAAGATATTCAAAGAATTGCCTCTTCCCTTGCTCATGATCAGGTAGATAGAACCCATATGCGTAAGTCCATTTCAAGACTCGCCTGCATTCAACAATCTACCAACAAAGTAGCAGGCATTTAACATGAGAACCACAGTCATCTATGACATACAGCCATGGCAATACAGACAGCAAATGAATTATAGGTTTACCTGAAGCCAGGCATCAGTTATGAACTTGAGCTGAGACTCAGGTGTGCAGTGTATGTCGCTAAGCTTCGCAAGCTGGTAAAGACCAAACATTGGCAAAGACAGAAATACAGGTCAGGAAGATATACTTTGAAGCAAATGCTCATATAAAATCTGCAGCTAACTATCAGTTATCTCCACAAACATTGGATGGTTGATAATGTAAGATCCCAGACAGAAAGACCAACTATCATAAGATAACTCCTTCCACACATTTGTGTTTCGCAATCACGCGACACAATACAAGTAATCCACGATAGGGCTATACATGAAGGAATGATTAGGCATCATTCACATAGGTCCACACCAGTTGGTTCTGAAAGCATGTAATGTCTAGGAAATGGAAGCGCTAAATTCTCAAGAGTAACCATCTAGCAATATGCAGATGCTCAAAAACTTGACAGGTGGTAGGACACAGGGGAAAAACTGCTGATAATCAGCTGATCTTAAGACAATGCCTCCAGCCCAATGATCATAATACAGAAAATTCAAACAGTTCTTTATTTCCAGATCCACCAAGTTGAATCAACTATATTCACATGCAAATAGAAACAGTCATGCATATCTAACACAGCAGGCACAACACATGCTATAGACAGAGTTCAAGAAAAAAAGGATTTGACATAGTTGAAATTCTCAATATGTATATAAAAGAGACTTACATGCACATTCTGCATTTGCTGCAAATCTGCAAGAGCTTTTTGTCTCGACTGCCACAAACAGAATGACACAGCTATTAGATTCAAGGTCACGGAGCAGACATATACTAACAAAGGAGAAGCAATAACAGAAATCTCAAATGATGCCATAGATCGGCAAAACAGTACGAGCTTGTACTCGTAAGACGTAAAGGCTAAAGAAAGATCACAACAAGCAGAAAATACATGGAGAAGACATGTTTTACTCTTGACAATGTGGAGAAGGAAATTTACACTTCACAAGCTCACAGAACACAGCTTACGACAATCCATAGATAGAAACTATTGTCCCACCACTTTGAATCATACCACTGAGGTAAAAACTCGGAAGCCTCAAACCCATGCTATTGTCCAGTTGCTTCGAAGTGTATAAGATGGCCACACTCAGAAATTAAACATACTGCCAACCGAAATTGTCTTATGGTGCAAATACATGTGACTGCTGAGTTTCGGATTAATTGATTTATTATCATATGAAGAGCGGGCAACTAATTGTCCCATCCAAAAAAGACAAGTTGGCATGCAGTAAAACACCTAATGAAGAATTGACAAAGCAGAACACATAAACATGTGTATTAAGCAGTACGGTACCGATGATACATACCGTTTGATTGCTTGCCCATCTTTCATAATAATGTGTATATCGCTCCAAAGAATTCTTAGCCATTTCTCGCCTCTTCTCAGCCTCATCATACTGAACATGTTACCAAAAAGAGCTACATTAATAATCTACTTCTCTACAACTAACTCGCAAACTACAGGGAAATGAGCCAGACAGTGCAAATGCAAGAAACCATGTAACAGCGAGGTCGAAACTCAAGTTATCAAATTGTAAAAATCATCCATCTCTTACAGCTCCTTCTTGCTTAGCTGCCTCATAGCGGTTACATGCATAAAAACCACCAGTCCTCTCCCCATGCTCTGACCAAGACCCAAGGCATAGCCTGCCATTCAAAATTAACAACAATCTGTCAATTACTGCCAAATAGAAGTAATGGGGAAATTTTGACAAAGCTCATTCAACTTTCCAACTAAAACTCACCAGCAAAACTCAAATTTGCAAGGAGGAGTACATGTTATGTGCATGCACCCTTGATTCTTTTCAATGGGTCGCTTGCACTTGGGACAAGGCTTGGAATTTGCTAATATCCTGCAGTTATCATGTGTGTGTCAGGAAACGAGACCGTGTGCTGTGGCAGGGCATTAATAATTAAAATATCATTCAACCCAAGGCAATTAAAATGTCTTGTCACCATATAATCCTAAGGAAAACACATGTATAGCAAAAAGAATTTCCAGGTAATGGACATAATTGTCTACATCATTGTCTAAACATACAGGACCCTTCTCAGGATGAATGAATATCATGGTTAGTGTATACTGCAACAAAAATGGTTGGCAACAAGCAATAGGTGATCTGAGTCAAGAGCAAGGAAAAGGGTGGGAACATTTTAATTCGCACATCACAGGCTGGACAAAGGATGACCTCTGGGAGGGTTTCTAGATTTTGTTCTTTTTGAAAATCAAGGCCTAGAGGCTGCAACTCCTTCAAACACATGCCACACTTTATTTGCATACAAGAATAATAATTACACGCAAACTGATAGAAACTGTTAGATTTCCACCTAAAAACTACAAAAGCATTCTGTTTCTACATACACCTTCAACTGTTAAATCAGAATGCAAAGCAAATCCAAACCAATCTAATCATACGAATGTAAGCCTTACCAAGCAAATTGAAATAAGAACCCACGTATAAAGGGAATCAACTTAAAGTTCTCATTAGAAAGAATCAAAGAGTAAAGCCATCCTGAACTTGTACCAGTTCATGTTTTCAGATTCCGCACTATTCTTTAAAATCCACTTTGAAACAGTTCCACAATCCACTGGACGGTGAGCTTCTTCCGTGCACTGCAAGTGTACAATCCCATAACGAATATTATATCACAAGTAGAGGCGAACTACTTGAAAATCTAATGTTTCAATAGAAATGAAACACCAAAGTGAAGACTTACACTCCAGCAAAAGCTATATGAGCAAAGGCAGGACACATCAAAGTTTCCAGCACCCGCAGCGAAATCAACAGCACATTCACACCCAGGTGCAGGGCACCATTTGGTCTATATGCAAGAGTAAGGGAAAGAATAATCAGTCTCTGAATCATTCTTATCAAGCAAAAAAGTATGGAAACAAACCTTTCTGTTGTCTTCGACATATGATCTAAGAAGGTAACGAGCATATTTCTCTTTCTCTTCATCAGAAGCCAACATATTGACCATGTCTAAACCAACCGCAGCACGACAAGACGGATCAGGGCATCTCAGCGCCAAGCATCCAGGACCATCATTAACACTGGCATTTATGTAGCCTGGTAGAATAGCAGAAATGGAATAAAAAGGAGCTACTTAAGCAACTAAAAGTAGATAGAGGAAAGTGGATGGACAAGCAACAGTTCAAACTTTCAGCTAAAAGCCTCGGTAAGCTGCACATTAGATGTACCTGACCAGCACGAATTGCAGAAAGGGTGACCACAAGCTGCCGAAACTATTCTACTTGGAGGAAAGAACTCGAAACAGATGCCACAAGTGAGCTACGACAAGAGAACAAGTGTAAGTAGATCATCGGGACAAATAAAACACACACTGAAAAACAAATTGCATGTTCAGAAACCAAGTCTGAACATAATAGATGGTGCGCTCACTTCTCTAACATCAGAAATGGGAGCCACCGGCCTATCCAGCAACCCAACAGTATTACGGACTCCATCCTCGTCTGCAAACCACTCATCGTGCACCTTACTAATGCTCCTGCAAAGACAGTAACATCATGGTATAAAAACTACGGAAGGAAGGCATTATCAAAAACTAACGAGACAGACTAACAAAATAAAAACCAAGTGCAGTACCAGTTGTAGTGACGAAGAAGGGTCGTTGCATCAACTTTTGATATGGAAAGGACGGTAGACACTCTCGCGACCGCATCATCCTGCCGTTGCTTTATGTCATCCTCCTTCAATACCGAGTAACTTTGCTGCAAACAGAAAAAAAGAACAAAAGGCTTAGATTCCTTTCCCCGCACCGAGTCACCCATTCACAAAGTGAGTAGAATTCAAGTTTCAAGCTAAACATCACAACCCCAGAAAAATCCCAAGCTACAAGGAAAAATTCCAATCATTCATCAGCCGAGCACTGTTCCAAGACCTAACTCGTCGAGAGCTACCAGACAACCACCCGCACCCAAGTCCAGAAAACACTTCAATTTGCCATCACATGTTCAGAAAATTCCTAATTCAATCCCCACATTTCACGGCAACTTTCCCAAAGCTGGGTAAAAAGGGAATCCCCACCTGCTGGCGCCAGTAGAGCGAATCCTCGACGAGATCATCAGCAGCCTCCGCCATGAAATCGTACCCTGGACCATCCTCATCATCACCGCCGCCACCTCCACCGCCACCATCATCACCATCGCTGTAGTAGTAATCATCCTCCAACTCCCCGCTGTAGAAATCGTCATCCACCGACTCCACGTCGTTGGCGTCCACCATCTTGTCCTCATCCGACTCCATACCCCCTCAAATCAAAAACCCTAACCCCGCGGAGAGAAACGAAACCCCCTCCCCGATGAAGCGCTGGATGGAAGTGGAATTCGAGAAGCAGCGAGGGATCTGGAAATGGACGGCGGGAAGGATTGGGGAAGCTGAGGGTTAAGGAGTGGGGGAAAGGAGAAGGAACAGAAGAAGGCTTCGGCTTTTTTGGGTAGGTGCGGAAAAAGTCGTTTTCTCCTTCGTCGGTTCTGCAATGAAAGACGAAGAAGGAGAAATGGTAAAGAAGAGAGTGTTGTGTTCTTCACCCTTTCTTCTTCTTTTTTTTTCCCCTCGGTTATTTCTCTCTCTGACTCTTTCTCTCTCTCCCCCTCCAATAAATATCGGAAAGTGTTGCGAGTGGAAGGACAGCGGCAAAATGGCGGTGCTGGTGAAACGGTGTCGTGTCGCCTGTCCGAGTTTTAAGTTCATTGGGCTGGTTAAAGCATTTGGGGGGGAATTGCAAATGGCCCAGACTTGAAATGGGCCTACGGAGAGAAGCCCAAACTTATTGGCAGGCTAGAATATGTGTGAGCCCGTTGAGTTTGGGCTCCAACGACCGGTGAGAGTAGATTCTGTTTGTTTCTTGATTTTTCTTGTCGTTTTCGTTTTGGTTCGACGCAATTGCTTACTTCACCGACGATTATCGGTGGTCATGAAATATTGAAATTGATCACCGCTTCCCGGTTCTCCTCCTTCCTTATCCGGCGCCGCACGCTAGCTAACGTCTCTTTCGTATTGAACCGGCGCCGGAAGGCGGTGCGGCGGCGGTAATGCCCTTATCATCACGTTCGTTTGTTTGTTTGCTATTTGCTTTGTTATCTCATAAATATGCATGTTATAGTTAAAGGCTATTTTTAGGCCCCGATTTTGATGCTGTTTTCTCGTGTTGGAGGGAGCTCTCTTTCGTTTTTGTTCTCATCCATCTCCTCTCCTATTTTTGGAGCATAAGATGTTTGTATATTATATGGATATATTTTTTATGTTATACGTTGCTTCGATCGGAAGTCAATATATAGAGGTGGAAGTTTGTACAGGTTGGTCATGCCACATGTTTAAATTATCGATCGTTAACCCTCTTGGCACTTTGGTGTTATAAGGGATAATTGCTGGATATCTTCCTTTTCGAAAGGAGGGTGTGCCCTTAATTAGGTAGCTAAGCAAACCAAGGGGATATTGCTTAGGCCAATGAAAGGCTCCAACCTAGTTTGAAAGGATTGAACCCATATAAGAGAGGGAAAATTAAATTATGTATATAAAATGGTAGGTCATTTGAAGGCCCTTGATAATGATCAACTAGTCATAAACTATATATTTGTGTTCTAAATAAAAATATCATGGAGCTTCTCTTTTTATCTCTTGAAAATATTTCATGACAATATGATCTTGTTTTAAGTCATTGGAGATCTTCTTTGTGCATAGATGAATTTTGTCTATATAGTTTATAGACATTCTCAATGCTGACTTGGTGATAACCTAGCTAGCTTTCATAGCATCATTTGCCTAATATGTATGTGTACTTACAAAACTATACATTAATTGTGTTATTAAAGTCATGGAAAGGAACTATTCAAGGGCATCGGTGCATGTAGCATAATTGGCATTCGTCAGGGTGTCGTTTAGCGGATAGCGTCACATGCTCTTCCTAAACGTAGTACACGTGTTTTCCTTTCTTTTTGATTCCTTTTATGCCTTATAACTGAAACCACTTGACGCCTATATATACTCATACCTTCACTTTTTCTCGATATCACATACTCTACTGTATATCTCGTTTGCCTAAACATCTCTCCATTCAATTCTTTGATGTTCTTCGTTTTTCCTATGACATATTGTTTGAAGGTGACCACTACAACCACTGATGTTGATTCTCAGAACACCGGTTTGTTGAAGTCGAGATTGTTGTTGATGAATCAACTCTCCATGTACTATGCTTGAGGTAACATTTGATGTTTTTCTACAATAATATATAGAAATATAGTAGCTTGGATGTAATGACACTTGACATACTCTCAAACCTTCACATTAAGAGTAACTTGGATGTACAAGTGTTGCTGACCCCAGTGGCGTAGCCAGGAATTTTACTAAGGTAGGTCCAATATAAAATAAAATTTCATATAATGATAATTCGCAATGTGTTTTCATATTTTAAAAGGTGCTTCCCGTAAAGTTTATTATAGAAATTGCAGCCTGTAAGAGGAGAAGAGGGCAATGATAAATGTGGGGGAAAGTCGAAAATATTTCAGGAGGTATATAGGGATGACAATTTCGATCCGACCCGTTTTACCCGTCTTATTTGACATTTTTTGAAATAGGTAATGCTCTCCTTGTAGCGAGTCGGGATGAGCATGAGTATTCTCCTAGACCGGACGTGCCATGACCGTCCCATTATCGACTTGTTTTTATCTAAATTATATTACATGTAATTTACTCGAATTATTTAGGATTTTACTTATAGTACATCATATTTTATTAATCATGAAGTTGTAAATAGATGAGAACCTCAATTTCTCAAATAATTTAACTATATTACCATATTATAGTTTGTTTCTTAGTTTTTTAATGATAAAATGAATATTTCTAGTTTTCTTTCAAACTACATACTAATATGAGTTGACCTGCCCCAACCATTATCTCATATAATAAATTATTCGATCTGCACCCAACTTGTTACGAAATAAGTATGAATATTGAAATACACATCCCGAGCCGATCATTATTCTTCCTAATATCAAAGTTGGATGGGAAAATAGAGGCAAAGTGATATTGTATTTTCGTTTATGTAAGCTCCAACACTACATATAATAAATATACCAAATTAATGTCAACACAAGTGATAAATGACTTGTAGTAGCGGTGAAAACTGAAAACCATTCTCAAATTCTCATTGGTAACATGTACTTGAATGTTGCATATCCGCCTTGTCAATGGTTTTTTCCGGAGGCTGGCTGTCCAAGGTGGTGCAGCGGACCCACCTTGGCATGGTGTGGCTCCGCCACTGGCTGGCCCTGTTTTTTTTTTTTTTTTTTTATTACTCGATCCTCACTCAACTCTTTTTTGTTCATCCTTGAAACAAATATCAACCATAATCAACCTCGAGCTTGATCTCAATTTATCTTGGTCGTTGATCTCGAACCTAGCTAGCTAGCCCTAGATCCCAATTCAAGTTAGGGTAGAACTCTCAACTTCTTGTTTAATCAAAATCATTTATAATGTTTACACATAAATGTAAACTACTTTAGCTCTACTTTTCTTATATTACCTAAGTTCTTAGCTCATTCCACTTATGAGTATTTTAAATGAAATTCCTCAATCATCATATGATTAGAGATCTTTGATCCGCGTTCTCCCCCATCACTATCAACTTTCAATTCCTTCCTTTTATTGGATTCCTAATTTGCCAACTTGCATGGCTTTCCCATTGTTCCCTCTTACTATAACGTGGCCACGCCTCATCCTCTCCTATATATGGCATGCCCCTTTGGAGACCGTATTATTGTCTCCTCTAATCACACTCGTAGTACTCTCTCAAGGTTTCTTAGATTACTTGTATACAAGAAACAACATAATTGATGAAACAATGGCCACAACCGAGTTTATATTTGTGTAGGCGTGCTAGTTAGCCAAACCCAAGGAGATGAAAAGAATTTGGAGTTCCTTAATTCATTCCTCGTGGGTTTTGGCATGTTTGCTTCATCTAACTAAGGACAAGTTATTAATTAATGTCGTCGCTTGCTTGCTTGCAAAGCCATTCCAATAGACGTGTTGAAGTTATTGTTTGATTGATAGAGAGAGAAGAGGAAAGAGCAAAAACGTATGAGTTTACTATACTCGATCGAATCTAACACTTCGAAATCGATTGTGGTTGAGTATGTAAAGATTGACACATTTTTTTCCTATCTGACTTATGATTCATTCTAGTCGATTGAAATCAAGTTAGTTAACTAGTTGCCTGTCGGAAGGGGTAGTTCGTTGGCGTGCTTGGTGTGTAGCAATCATGAATTTGAGCATATGCAAACCACTCATTCAACTCATCACATGATTTTTAATACTAGAATTCCATATTGGGGGACAACTACAGAGTCGTTATAATAGAGATATCAGTATCAGATTGTACGAGAAGTGATCAATTTGTTGGATTTGAGATGGATTCTTCGTACGTAATGAGTCGAGTAGTATAGGATTCATGAACTCTAAAGTAAGTAGAAGTATCATTCATAATAGCAGCTTGTTGTTTCAACATTCCATTGATGCATGCATACCAAATCGTAGAATCATTCATAATGCATATCAAGAACACAAACCACAACATATTCAACTCGAACGATATAGTTAAATCCAAACGTCAATTTGGTCTGATACCATCCACTACAAATCAAACCGTTGCACACCCTAGCTAGCTACTCGCAACAATAACATTTAAGTGCCCTTGCTCAAAGTATAAATGCGTAACATCCCTCTGATTTTCATCCATATGCCCAATTCGACCTGATACCATCCACTACAAACCAACCGTTGCACACCCTACTCGCAACAATGGCGTTAGAGTGCCCTTATCTCAAAGTATAAATGCGTAACATCCCTCTGGTTTTCAGCCATATGCCCAATTTGACCTGATACGACATCCACTATGGATCAAACCGTTGCATACCATTCAGTCACAACAATACCCTTAAATTGCCCTTGCCTCAAAGTATAAATGCTTACCCTCCCTTTGATTTTCAGCCATATGCCCAATTGCCCATTCCTTAGTTCCACACAAACTCTCTCTACCTAGCTCTCTTGCAAAACTACATAAACCACCCTCAGCTTCTTCTTCATCCCCGGATTAGTACCCAAAGTTCCTGTCCAGCAAAGATGAGGTACTGGCCAACGACTGCACTTGCAGAAGCAGCGATCTCCCAGCTTTCCGCACCACCACCATCGCCGGCAGCTCCCGTCGCCGCCACCGACAACATACCGGCCACGGACGCGGACGACGGCACCGACGACGCGTCAACCACGGTCCTAATCATCTGCCTCTCCATGGTCGTCACCGGCGTCGCCCTCCACACCGCCATCCGCTTGTTCCTCGAGAAGTACCGGGCGAACCGCGAGAGGAGCTGGGAGCTGGAGAAGGCCGCGGAGCTGAGCGCCGCCGTCGCGTCGGTGACCTCCACGGTGGCGCACGGGGGCGGCGATGCGGCGGCAGAATGTGCGATTTGCTTGGCGGAGTTCGAGGAAGGGGAGGAGATCAAGGTCCCGGGGAACTGCCGGCACGGGTTCCACGGCCGGTGTATCGAGCGGTGGTTCGCCGCTTCTCGGAGCTCCTCGTGCCCGACTTGCCGCCGGTCGAGCCTGCCCCCGACGACGACGCTCCCGCCGGCAGTGGTCTCCTCACCTATCACCGCCGGCGGCGGTGGGTGAAATTAGTGGTTGTTTGTTTATAGATGATGACATTAAGGTTGGAACTCAGGAGGCAATAGGTAGGTAGTTATATTTGTTCTTTTTCCATCTTTTATGTGACATATTTTGTAGTCTATTACTTACCCAAGTGGGAAGATCAATAAAGGTGGGGTTTTTTTTGTTAGGAAATGCTATATGAGATATGAAATATGTTCAAGTTATAAGAAAATAACTTTAAGAAAATGTATTACATGTGTGTTCATTATCATAAGTTCATCTATTCTATGGAATCAAGTTTCAATCTAAGGTTCATTTGGATTGGAACATCCATACACCATATCAAATATGAATTGTGCGTTCGACGAAGATCCAATGATCCGCCAATAATGTACGCATGAACGTTCTCGTCCCATATCCGGATCATAGCCGGATTGATAGTCACCTAGTAAAATGGTACAAAGATAAGTTGGGTTGTCTGCCCCATTTCCGGATCATAGCCGGATTGACAGTCACCTAGTAAAATGGTACGAAAATAAGTTGGGTTGTGACTTGTGAGACACAAACAGAGGGGGGATATGTTTATGCATGGGAGTTGCTTGGTCACCGTCAGTATAAGAGGAATTCGATCCAAACTGAACCGGTCAATTTGCTTGATTGTTTCCAAGCAAATACAATGGAAGCTGAACAGGCGAAATGTTAAAATTGATAATTGAAACTATATACCACTCCGACCTGGTTCCTTTCCTTCCACCCACATGTCTGACCACTAGTTCCGAATTCTAAGTCATGAAATGATAGAAACCTATTTCTATGGTACTATCGATTGTGTTGGGTGATTGGGGATTTAGAGATAAAATTTGGGACTGAAATTACCTAATAAACTATTTTAATTTGACTCAAAGACTACTAACCATATCTAAATAAATCTTAATAATAATAGTAATTATGATAGAAAAGGAAATTCGGTTTCTATCATGGAACTTACATACAACCTGGAAATCGTTCATGAAGATTTCAGAAACCAAGCAAAAAAGACACAACATGCTCACATCGATTGCCTTCTCGAATTCCTACTCATACTCGGAAAACATACATTAATTTAGCAACTAGCTAATCTTCGATGATATCGGTTATATTTTCCTAAAATGGCTCAGGGGAATTATTAAATCTGCTACATGGCTCAAGGCTATCAAAAATCATTGGAGCTCGAAAGAGGCAAACTTGTCATATCTTATAGGTTTCTCTCATTTGAGCCTCCTGCTTGGTGGGAGACTCTGTTTCCTGGCTGTGGGTTTCTGAGGGGCTGATTTGATCTACTTTTGATGATGGTTTATGTGCTTGGGCCTCCTCGATCATAGCTTTCGTTTCCAGAACCTTCATCATCTCTGTCATTGTCTGCTCCTCCCCCTCGAGTTGCTGTTTCATTAGGATCTCGGCTTGCGTGTTGATTGGCTTGAAGTAATCGTCGATGGCAGCCTCCTGCATAACCAAGCACACCATTAGCAAGTGATAGTTTCTTTTCGCCAGCTTATTCAATTATTAAGCGGAAGAGGAATCTCCATCAGCTAATGAGCTTGTAAACACGTTCGTTCACTCGAGGAGGGATTCAATATGTGCTCTGCAATGGGCAGGCATGGACAAGCTAATCGAGCAGTCATTATACATATGCAAATGAATGACAATTCAAGACAAGAATTCTCGAAACTTGCAGCAGTTTCTTGTTCAATATGTAGGCACTAAGAATCTAAGGATGGCTTACAATACTCACAGTTTCCTCGAGCTTCTTATTCAATGCTTGCATATCCTCAACCATAGCACGAACTTCTGTAAGTATAGTCTGCTCAGGAAGCTTTCTCAAGGCCAATTTTTTTTCTTCGGCCTGCACAATAAAAAGTCCTTTGAGCTTTATGGAAATTGGCACTGAAGCACGCGCACAATGGAGGTGACACAGGCATATTGATATTGATAACAAAGATAGAGAATAGCAAACTGGATAAGGTGATGAAGGAAAAGGGATTGGGACTATGGAAAAAGATAGAATGTGAAAATAAACATGGTGCATTGAATTCTGTTCAACACCCTCAAAACAATGCCACAGCATGAAATTGGAAGCAAGAACTTCTATTTGCTTCACGCCTTTCTACACTGTCTTGTTCCATACACCCATTGAAGCAGTCTTACTTAGATAACGAAAGAATGGCCGAACCATCCACTAAGTTAACCAAGTCTCCCAATCATCACTAAGCAAGCAGTCTAATACTCGGAGAAAGATTGCACCCTGAGCTTCACATACACATTTCAATTCATATGCTTAGTTTACTCCTTAACAGTTGACATTACCAAATGACCAAGATCATATTGCACTGAAGCAAAGAACCGAAGCCAAATGGCCCACATCTCTATGTACATCAAACGAATCATAACGAGATTTCATCATCTCCATCTATGTAAAGGTCATTTCTCTACCAGTTGTCAGCCTAAACTAGATACACTAGTGGATCATCTCATCCACAAGAACAACATCCTCTACTCAGAGGCTACGAAAACCACAGTAAGGAGAACAAAGCACCCCATTCACACAGCAAACAAGATCAAGATCATTCCTTTTTGGCATTTGGATCATGAAAAACCAACTTTACCACAGTTAGAACTCACAAGCTCATCAAAATCCAACAATACAGGACATCGAAAACCCGAACCGGGCCAAATTGGCTACAGATGTAAACACTAATTAACTCCAACCTATGAAGTAGCGTACCTGTTGGAGACGCTTCTCCAGCATCAATCTATAATTCCGGATTCTACGTTCTTCGTATCCTGAAAGCACCTTCGCATAGAAAAGCGCCTTCCTTCCGAACTCCAAAAACTTATTCATCGCTATTAGTCCTCAAATCTACCCAACAAATCGTATCTGCAAACAGATAACACTCAGACACTAAGCACTTCCACAGCTCAATTTCGCGCCCCCCTTCTACCCGCTCGTAAAAAGACAGAGAAAGAGAACAATACCAGAACTTGGATGGCGATGGCGATGGCGATGGCGATGGCGATGGCGAAACTGGAAGCAGAGCCTGAACTCCGCTGTGTCTACACCTTCCGCCTCTTCTCACCTCCCCCTCCTGCCTTTCTTCAATTGGCAGCGGCGGGAAATCGAGATTCGTTCCAGAGCCTTCCCCGGATTTTCTATCTCGGATACGCCGCTTCCGCAGAGATTCCAATCGCTCTATCGACGGCCAGCTTTTCAGACGACTTTCGGAGACCCAATCGCCATTGTTTCACCTTTCGAGCAAAGCGCAATGGATCCTCTTCACTACTCCGAAGTCCGAATGCCGATCCCTCATCCCTGCGAGTTCTGCGGAGGAAAACGACATCTTCTTCTAACGTAAAACGACTCGATGTGCCTGCTTTCGGAGATTCTCAGTCCTCATAAATTTCCTCCTTCCAAGTTTGGTACTTAAACTAAGTGAAACTTGCCCTCTCGTGAACGTGCTGGATCTGGTGGGCTTTTGGTGAGTGGGCCTTTCTGAATGGGCTTATTTTCTTAATGAACCAATGGGCTCATTATTCTGAAATTAATCCACAAAGCTAATTAAGTGGCCGATGCACTAATAAAATAATTAACAATTGTAAGGGTACAAGTAACCTAACGAAACATTACCGAATGGGATCGATTTACTATCAGTAGTAACTGTTGTATGTGAACTCCTCTTGCAATTGTTGTTATGATGCTCTTTATCCATTTCTATTGTACCAAAAAACGACAACAATAAACCATATTATTCATTGTACCAACAAATAGAAGACAATGCAAAGAGAGAGAAGTTGGTGATGGATTTGTGTTAATTTTGTGTTCCCATTGAGGCAGACTACCTAACTAAAAGGGCATATCCTCCTCCCACTAAGGCAAATCACCAACAAACTGAAAATTCCCCACATTGGGCCACTTGTTTGGTTAATAAACAATGTCTTTTTGGTGGCATAGTCATTTCCCATGTAGCTTCAATTGGTGACTCCAAAATATGAACCTATGATATGAATGAGTTTCTTTGTATATTATTATATATCTAGATCAATTCTTTGGAGTTTAACAAGGTTATGGGTAGAAGTAGGCAAGTTCTAGTACCTCATATCGACAGAGATTACAATATTTAACCAGTTGTCATACCAAGCTTAGAGCACGAGGTTTTTTTGGCCCTCATTGAAGACAATTCCTAATTTGAAGCATTGTGTAAGATTGCTTACAACAGATTCCCGGTTAGTGTGCCAAGTTTAGAGCTTGAGATTTCTTTGGTATTCATTGCATGTTCCTACGGTTGAATCCTACATTACAACACTATGTAAGATGTCCTAGTATGCTTCGAAGTTCACTTGGTTATGAATGAAGGGCGAGAATGCGAACAACGAAGAGTGGTCATCCAAGGGTGGGCAGCAAGACCGATCAGATCAGGAGCTCCCGGTTCCCCGTGACCCAACCCGTAGCAACATACAACTGGGCTGGACCAAACTATTCCAACCGGGGTTTCCTCGAGCCGGCCTGAGATCTGGTCTGCTACGTGGCAAGGCAATAATGGTGGCAAAGAAGACAAAGGTCTAGCCAATAAACGAGGAGTGGGAGTTGAGTGGGTGCAACTAATTCTGAGCTGCCCAATTTAGGGAAGTAATAAATATACTGGCTGAAGCATGTAAAAGCCCACCAAGAAAAAAATTTGCTTGACCCAAGAGCTCAATTATTTGCCCCAAAAAACGACCAGCCACGTGGGTTTGTTGGCACATACCATTCCCTCCAATGGCCCACTCCCACGTGGCACTGAACATGACCAATCATGCAAGTTTTTTTTTTACAGATACAAACAATGTCACTATCTCATGCATGGCCATTGTCAATTTGTCACAACATATACATATTGCTAATGGGAGTGGAGGGGAGTGATTAGGGCATGGATTTCTCGAGGATGGGGCTCTTTGATATGGATGCCTTGGTTTTGAAGAGTTTTTTGTTCGAGTTGGTGTGTGATTTATTAGTGATATCAAGTATTGCATTTAAGTGATGTGATTGTGAATTCATCATGTGTGGTAGCAGGTGTCGAAACAATCAATTCGATTACGGGTCTGGAGGAAGTACTCCTTCTCCTACACCACACAAAACAAGTTGAAGTTTATGAGATGTAAAATTATGGTTGTAATTAGTGTTGAATGATATTGCTGTCTTCCGTTGCATCTAAGTGATGTGATCGTGGAATTCATTGGTGAGTGGCATATGAACAAGCAATTTGACTGAGCGTTTAGAGGTTGCCTTTTCTTCTACAACCGTAGAAAAACAAGTTGAAGTACTCGTCAATTCTTTGGATTGGGATGAGTGGGTTTCGTATAATACGGGGAAAATGACATTATCTTCGATTGAGTTTTGAAAATGGTTAGTCACTTAGACTTGTATATATTACTCTGAAGAGGATAATGTGAGAATGATAACATTCATCGTAACAAAAAGCTCAAAGCGTTACATGTAATTTTCCTTAGCCATCTTGAGTTAATTGGTGAACTACCAACCCCACCATCTAATAATATAACCACTATGTCTGGGTCAACTAACCCGACTTTTTACTACCTAATTACATTTAATGGGCAATAGATTGTAATTAACTAACTAGAACTACTCCTATAGTAACTGATTCAATGGAGGGAAAATGGTCTAATTTTCAAGCCGACGAACTTGATTGTGTTTTACGAACATGGTTTAACAGAACGTCCCGATCGAGAGGCCATAAGTAGTTTTTTGTGGTTGTGAAACATAGAAACAAGCCTGAGTTTAACCCCATAGTGTTCACAGCCACTCAAATTACAACAACCAAGGGATTGCTACTAAACGATAGAGGTAGGACAAGATCATATGTGAACAAGTGATTGACTAATAATTTAATTAAGATTATGAAAGATGTGGACTAGCTTCATTGAAAGCCACAAGAGAGAACATGCCATGTGATACAAACAACAAAATTTTGGCCTATGTTCTTCTTGTTTGTGGTGCATCATGCATTGGACAACAATTTGAGTAATTATATATATTTTTTGTTGTAAGTAGATAACCATTTGGATAGTAAGTTATCAATCATATATTTGGAAAGTTATGACTAGTCTTGTTTTTTTTTTTATTTTACCATTTTGGCTTGTAATTTAATTTCTTTGCAATTGTTTAAGAGCAAAAGGTAGTGTGTAGAGGGTAGACGACAAAAAGTTGGTTTTTTTAATGTGTTAACAAATGACAATGTAATTGTCGATGTCTTCCATCCGAAGGTGATATACATGTTGTTATATGTTGATGACTCGCTTGCATCTAGAGTTAAAAGCATCATACTTATTACTGGTTATTTGTAACTATTCAAACACATAAAATTAAGATATGGATATGCATTTTAATATTATCGATCAAACTTATCACTGACGAATGATTTACATATTTTTGAACAAGTAATACATGTTAGGAGGGAGTCATTGATAGCCGATTATATACAATGTAAATTCTTCCAGATGCCTCCTTCTTCCAAGATAATATACAATGCACCTCTCGATCAATATATCAACCGCTCTTATCAATTACAATCGTGCTGTCTGTCATTACTAGGCCAGAGCTCATCACGATCTCAAAATCAAATCGTGATAGACCGCAAAGTAATGCGGCACATAATTCTGTTCACGCTATAAAAACGGATAAACTCTACACAATCCATACTTGTACACACGTTCATTAGGATCTATTGAGCACTATTTGTTTTCTTTTTTAAGTAATGAAATTATATGTTGAAAGTTTACAGAAAACGGTTGAAAGTTTCAATTCATTAAAAATTTCAGGTGGGCAACATCATAATATAATAAAAACTGTAGAATACTAGAATAGACGGCCGATTAGGTGGGGCAATTAAATAAAAACTCTTTTCAATAATTTTTTTTTTTTTTTTTTTTTTTATCAGAACCTGCATTCAGCTTTTATTGATATGGAAAAGTTACATCATCAATTTTAAGCTGATCAAGCAGAATCAGCGGAGGCCTATCAAACCAAACTTCCGCTCTATCCCATAAAGTTCTAACATGCGCCATAATATGCGCAGCTTCATTAGCCTTTCGACTGACATGTTGGATCGTCCCCCCTCCTGTCTCCTCTAGCAGCTTACTGATGTTCCTGCAGATCACCCCTAGCTCGGTTTGTATCCCTGCCGCTCGTCTGACCCCTGCCACCACATTCACACAATCCACCTCCATAATCGGGCTCACCATATGGTGTTGTCGCGCCAGCTGTAACCCGAACTCGACAGCGAGTGCCTCCCCCATTGTCGGATCCTGTATTCCCCTCACCTGCTTCGCAGCTGCCATAACAAACTCTCCCATATGATTTCGAACCACCACACCCAGCCCTACACCCTCATCTCCAATGCCCGCGTCCGTGTTAATTTTCAGCCTCCCCTCCTGCGGCCTTTTCCAAATTTGGGTATCCCCCGTTAAATGATTTTCCTCGCCTTCCGATTGGTGCAACCGGTACTCATCAAGGAACGCCTCCGCCCAGGGAACAATCTCCATCTCCTCCATCTTTGTCCCATTGAAGAGTTGAGCATTCCTCTCTTTCCAAAGTATCCATAATAGGACCACCCAATCCTCTAGTACATCTTCCGGGACCGTCTTCGCCACCTTCCAAAACCATTCCAAACAGCTCGCATCCTCTCTTAAGTCAAAGCAATGGGCAACCCGCGAGGTCCTCCAAATCCTGCTGCTCCACATACACTGATGGAACAAGTGAACTTGCGATTCCACTTGATTGCAGAACGGGCACGAGTCACCTCGCCTGGGATTCCGCTTGTTCACCTGCTCACCAGTAGCTAGAGCCCCCCTCATAAATTTCCACATAAAAATCTTAATCTTTGGAGGTATATTCATCGCCCAAAGGCGATTCCACATGGCTGGCTCCCCCACACTTCGATTCCCCTTCTCCTGTTGATGCTTCCCCAGCCAAGTTCTATATCCGTCACGCGCCGTGTACAACCCGTCCTTACTATCAGCCCATATCATGCGATCCGGCTCCCCCAAGTCTCGTAGAGGAATTTGTCGGATGGCTTGCACCATTTCCTTTGAAAAACAGCTCTCGAGCACCGTGTCATCCCACTGCTCAGTACCTTCTTCGAACAGATCACGAACCACTGCATCCACCGGGAGACCAGTCGGAGGGGATTGAACAATAAAGCCCGGCGAGGCTGGTACCCAGCGATCACCCCAAACTCTTACCGATGCCCCATTCCCAATACGCCAACGCAGTCCATCCACCAAAAAATCTTGCGCACTCATGAGGCTTCGCCAAACATAACTCGGGCTCCCTCCCACTCGCGCGTCTAAAATCGATACCTTCTTGTGGTATTTTGCCTTCAGCAGCCT